CTCCTTGAAGAATCATTTCTGGGACATTCTCATCATCAGTTTTCAGACCAGCCAGACCCCTCAGAATCTGCTGCCCCATCTCAGCCCTGTCCCCCACTGACTGGGAGCCCAGGGTGCTCCCTGGGTTACACCCTCACGTGGGTGAGGACCCCGAGCGCCCCTGAGTGAGAAAGGCATGTGACGTCCCCTGCTCACCGCTGCCCGTGCCTTACAGGCACGAAGGCTGGCGGGGCAGGGATGGGCATGCAGGGGGCAGTGCCGCTTTGATCGGCTGCCAGAAGAGAGAGGGGGAGGAACACACTCTAACTAGACAAGCTGTTCGCTCACCAGCTGACTTTGGTAAAAGAAAAAAATTCCTAGCTCCATCTGTTCCCAGAGCGGGGCTGGTGTGGGGCCTGGGGCTTCCTGCAGCTCAGGCGGCCAGACCCAGTTTCGGAATCTGAGACAGCTGCCCCCTGGATTATTTTGGGAAGCGGCTCAACTCCGAGGCACCCCAGCCTTCGAGGCATTTCCCATCACTCCAAAGCTGTTTGTACACCCAGCCCAAGGCTGCCAGCGCCTTCTCTGGCCCTGGACGCCTTCCTGCTCAGCTCACTATAATTATCCTGCTTCCAGCTTCTGCTGCAACTTCTGCTGGAGTTGGATTTCTTGGGATGGAGGGACAGAGAGCGTCAGGGTGATGGACAGTGGACGGAGGGGAGGGAGGGGTGCCTGCTCTCCCCCTTCTCAGCCTCCTTTGTGGGACCACTTCCTCCACCCACCCCCAGGCATGGGGCCCTCAGACATTCACCTTGACCCATGGCGCATCCTCTCCCCACTCTCTCCTCAAGAGACGTGCCCACTCCTTTGTGAATTACAAGTTCCTGGGGTGGGTGGGATGAGGGAAACTTGGGCGGAAACAACAGTGTCAGAAAGACCTGGAAAGAGCACAGGAATTTCAGGGAACTACCTGGAAGCAGTTTGGAAAGTTTGGGGCAGAGCAGGGAGCGGACAGAACACTGAACACAGTGGACAGAAGATCCCACAGCCAGCAGCGCCTGAGCAGCGGACGCTGCCTGGAGGCGGGGACCTGGGAGGTTTAAAGCAGGGTGGTAACGAGATCGCGTTCCCAGGACAGAAACACTCCGGCTGCTGCTGCAGAGCTGGAGTCAGAGGAGACAAGGCAGGGAGACCAGCCGACCAGGCAAGGACCCAGGAAGGTGCGAGTTCTGACTTGGGTGCGGTGAGTTTGAGGTGGGCGGCCCAAAGGGAGCTGAGCCCCGGACAGTTAAAAATGTGGGTCAGGTCAGGGAGTAGAATGGTGGTTGCCAGGGCCTGGGGGAGGAGGGAGGAGGGAGTCATTGTTTAACGGGTGCAGAGTTTCAGTTTTGCAAGACGAAAAGAGTTTCGGAGGTGGACGGTGGGATGGTTGCACAGTAATATGCATGTACTTCCTACTGCTGAATTGCACATTTAAAAATGATAAGGCGGCACATTTTGCGTCATGTGCATTTTACCACATAAAAAAAATGAAAGAAACAAAAGAGAAAGAAATATAGGTGTGGAGCTCAGGGCTGGAGCTGGGGCAGAGATCGGAGAGTGGCCCTCAGAGAGGAGGGCCAGGCATTGTAGACGCGGAAGCCATCTCCAGGGAAGGCGTGCGGTGTAAGGAGGACTGAGAGCCCACGCTACGTCTTCCGGCAAGGCGGAGGGAACGGAGCCAAAGAAAGCCCAGGGCGGGCTGGAAGGGGAAGCAAGGAAGCCTGGGGTCCAGTCGCCCAAGGAAAAGCCTGGATCCGGGAGGCCTGATGAGGATGAGGCTGAAATAAAACCCAAGTGCGGCAAGAGGAGGCTGTATTTTCCAGCCACGACGGAATAGCAGGGTCTGAGTTTGCTGCTCTGTCTTCCAGACACAGTACCTGCAAGCAAAGGTCCTCAGGCCCTAGGCGACAGGCACGCAGGAGAGCGATCCCCGAGAGACGGAACGAAACGAGATGAGCCCTGCGAGCACCTTGGCTCGCTGCCTGGAGAGTCAGGGCAGGGAGCCCAAACACAGCCCAGAGTTGAGGGGACAGAATTTGGACTGTGGGAAAACCAAAGCAACTATGACTTGTGGGACACAGTCCTAGGGAAGGAGGAGCTGCACAGAGAGCGAGAGCTCCGAAGATCTGCGGAAGTTCTCCTGAGTCGTTGGTCAAGTACTGACCTACACGTGCACGTGAGGTCGCTGTCCCGGCGTGTCGTGTCGTGCTGGGGAAGGACCACAGGGAAGCAGCGAGTAAAACAGTCACCGGGGCTCAAGCAGGTGCTGTTTGCGATCCCGCCAGCCCCAGAGGAAGGACCTCCCGAAACCCAGGGCGCGGAAAGGTCCTCAGATAGGCATTGCCTCAGCTGTGTGGCCGAAGAAGTCCTAGACTAAAATCTGCCCCAGACCCACTCTCACAAAGTGAAAGACAAGCCTCAAAAAGATCTAACTGGTTCCAAGTGACTTCACTGCATCTCAGAAAGAGTTCCAAACACGTACAGGAACATCGAAAACAAACACACGGTGCTCACCAGTGCGAATCTTCCCAATGTCCAGCTTCCAGTTAAAAAGTATCAGACAGGCAAAAAATTAAGAAAACATGAATCATAACCAGAAAAAAATCAATCAATGGGAAGAAAAATCTAGAAATAACACAGATGGCAGAATTAGTAGACAAGGATGTTAAAACATTATTATAAATATACTCCATATGTTGATGAAAGTAGAAAGAGGAGTATGAGGAGAGGAATAGAAGATGTTTTAGAAGACTCAAATTGAACTTCTGCAGATAACTAACACGATATCTGAGCCGAAAACTACAATGGGCAGGATTAAAGCAGAGTGGACACCACCGAATAAAAGATCAATGAACTGGAAAACATGGCGATAGAAACCATCCAAAATGAAGCGTGGAAAGAAAAAGACTGAAAAAAAAATGAAGATGGCAGCACGTTCCCGTCACCCCCGCGTGCCCCGCTGCCACCAGTCCCCTTCTCCAGATCTGCCCTGGAAGCCACTGGTCTGCTTTCTGTTGCCACCATTGTGCCTTTTCTGGAACCTTTATTAACGGTATCATACAGCATGTTGGCTCGTGCCTGGTTTCTTTTCAGTTTGCGTAATGCTGTTAATACCGTCCACGCTGTTCCTCGTGTCAACACTGACTCCTGTGTATCGCTGCGCACAGCACCATTGTGTGGTGGTACAATCACTGTTCACACATTTGCAAGTTTGGGTTCTTTTCAGTTTTTAGCTTTTGTGTACAGTATTGCTATTCACGTACGAGTGTTGGTGCGGACATATGTTTGCATTTTTCTTGGGTAAATACCTAGGACTGAAACGGCGGGGTCATATGGTAAGTGTACATTTTACTTTATAAGAAACAGCCAAACTGTTTTCCAAAGCCAATGCGCCATTTTTGCATTCCCACCAGCCATGTGTGAGAATTCCAGTAGCTCCGCATGCTTGCCAACACTTGGCACTGTCAGTCTTTTCGATTTTAGCCATTCTAGACAGTACAGTGGTTTCTTATTGTGGTTTTCATTTTATTTCCCAATGACTCATGGTATTGAGCATCTGTGTTAGCGTGGGCTGCTATAACAAAACCTGTCTTGATCGTTGCCGTGGTGGTTACACGACTGTATACATCTGTCGAAACTCATCAAATTGCACACCTAAAATTGGGAAATTTTGCCATTGGCAAAATCATTCCTCAATAAAACTATACAAAATTAAATAATTTAAATTTAAAAAAAATTTGCTGTGAAACAGAGCAAGTGAGGACTTGGCGTGGCCGGGCTGGGCCGGCCTGCAGGGGTGAGGCCCACGTGGGTGGGGAGCAAAGACCCCAGGAAGCAGGGTGTGGATTTCAGGTTCCTCAGGTGAAGCCAGGTGTGAAGGGCGGAGAGGCTGAGCCTGTGCCCGCAGGGAGCCCAGGACAGCAGGGGGAGGCCTCAGGGAGAGCACCTGAGCAGGGGGAGGGCCTGGGTCCAGGTACGGGGAGGCCACAGCGGGTGTGGAAGGAGAGGCATTTCCCAGAGGCAGCGGGGAAGGCAGGTGCAGAAAGAGGGTGCATCTGACAAGGCTGAGGGCGCACCTGGAACCGCGCAAAAGCTGCAGTTTGCCCTTGAGTCGGGAGGGCAGGGGAGGCAGACCCCTCAAGACCCCCGCACACTCAGACACCAGCTCCCAGGGCTGGCCACACACCGGCTCCGGGTCTCACTCCCCGCAGGACGTCACCCCCGCTCCACCAGCTGGTCTGGCACGGATGACCTGGCCCCAGCCCCTGCTCCAAAGCCCCTCCCCAAAGCCACCGCTGTCAAACTGTGACAACCCCAAACCTAGGGCTCTCTCCTCCACAGGGGCCTGAGCGGGTGAGCAGGGGAGCAGCCCAGGGCGGAGCACAGCCCAGATGGCTGCCGCCCTCCCCGCCAGCCTCACCCCTCCCCACCTGCCTCCAGCAGCTGGTTCTCATCAGATGTCAGCTCAGGGGTAGGCACCACCCCACCCTGGAAGCCAGTGCTAGAACACCTATACAGCTGTGTTCAATTCTACAAGCTTCTTTTCTTTTCTTTTTTTTTGGAAAAACATACGCAGAAAACATGGAGTCTTGCTGGAGAGAGTGGGGACTGTGGCTCCCTGGGGACACACTGGAGACGACCTGGACCCACTAATCAACCACAAAGATTTCTTCTTTGTGACTTTTGGGCAAAACTCACGATCGCAGCTATGGGGGTCGTCCCGGGCCATGGTTCCTCTGGCAAGTAACTCAATGAGCTTCTCTGAGGGCGGCGGGGGCTCCTGCCTCTGCGTGGTGGCGCAGGGGCCCAGTGCGGGGCTGTGGTGGTAGCTGGCCAGGGCCTGGGCCATCAGCCCTGACACCTGACAGCCTCACGCCCTGGGTGACGACAACGGCCACCTCGAGGGGCTGTCGCCGCCCCGGACCGGGGGTGAAAGGCAGAGGAATTGCAACACGGGGCTCAGCTCGGATTGGCGCGTGTTTAATGCCCCCCACCCCAGGACACCGGAGGCCCCCAGCACCCTCCCAGAAATGCTTTTATCAAAATAAACTGAGCAAGGACAGATGTTGGCTCAAAACGGGTCCACACCTAGTGGGTTCAGAGATAGACAGAAGATGCAACCAGGAGACGCAGGCAGAAGGGAGGACGAGTCACAGACACAGGAACGCACAGGCCTGGGCCCCACAGCCGTCTCGGCCCTCCAGCCGGCGGGCTCTGAGCCCTCCAGGGGCAGCGAAGGTTAACTCGGGGTTCCACGGGGCGTCCCGTCCACGTTTACTTTCAGCTTGTGCTTGCAAAACAGGCTGTAGAGCACGCGCAGTGTGCTCTTGGCGTCCTTGTTCACGATGTCTGCAGGCCAGAGGGGGCAGGGCAGCGGGTCAGGCCTCGGGGGCGGTGACCGACCGTCCTGGCTTGCAGGAGACTGAGGGGTTCCTGGCAAGCGGGACTTCAGTGCTAGAACCAGGAGAGTCTCTGGCAAACCAGGACCAGTGCCCGACACGTGACCCTGCCTCCCCCTCCTGTCCAGCCCCCCTGCACCCTCTGTGCCGCCCCCGACACAGCAACTCCTCACGGGCCGGCGTCTCTGGACAGCCTGTCCCAGAGAGCTCCGTCCCCTCCTCTCCCAGGACCTCCCCCACTGGGGCCACAGTCCCCTCCCAGGAAGCCTTGGCGAGCGCCCGCTACCCACCCGCTCCGCCAGGCAAGAAGACTCCACCCGCACGTGCTCCACCCCACACCCCGTGCCCGACCCGTGGCTCTCGCACGAGGCTGGCCACCAGGGCCGGCCGCAGCGCTGGCGTCTGCCACACACTCACCTTCAGGGCTGATGGGGTAGCTGAGCAGGCCTTCGTCCTTCAGCAGCTCCAGGGCCAGGGTGACGTTGTGCAGCTACGATGACAAGGCCCCGTCAGATGTCAGCAAAAGGCGGCAGCCCCAGCCCGGGCCCTGGGCCCCAAGTGCCAAGCCTGTCCTGTCATCCACGATGTCCACCCGTGTTAGCGCAAGCTTCCCATCGAGGTGTGAGTCCCAGACCACAACCGCAATCCATAGTCATCCAGTGTCCCCTTGCAGCCCCCATGGACGGGGAGCTCACCCCCTCGCATGAGGGGCCCACGCGCCATTGCTCAGCCACTCACGGGTCCTGCTCTGAGTGGGGGCTGGGCACACTCGTGCATCGAGGGGAAAAGGCAAACACAGAGGACAGCACCCAGTGCGGGCAGGGAAGGCTTCCTGGGGGAGGTGACACCTGGTGGTGAGCTGCCAGGTGAGGAGGCCCGGCCAGGGAAAGGAGCAAGGATTCATGAGTGGCGGAGCCCCCTCGGAAATAGCCGAGTTTCCCTGGGAAAAGCGCAGTTAGGATATCAAGGCTCGGAGCCACCCGGAGCTCAGCGCAGCTCCCGAGGCAGACAGCGCTGGGACCAGCCCACGCTGACGCGAAGCAGGCTGGGACGGCCCTTTCAGCCTTTCGCACCACCCCCACCCCGCCTGGGCTGGAGCCTCGGACACGGCCCCCTGCAGAGCCCACCCGGGGTCCAGACCCTGGCTCGGCCACTGGGTGACCGGAGCACATCAATTCGACCTCCACCCCAGGCCCTCCATTGGCGCACCTGCAAAGGGGCTCGCCACGGGGAGCCTTGCTCAGGCCACTGGTGGGACCCCCCCGCCCCCTCCAGGGGGGTCCCCGCTTTTCATTCTAGGTTCTCCCTTGGGCCTCAGACACAACCGAAGTGACCCCACCCTTCTGCTTGGGCAGCAGCCTGGTGTGGCAGAAAGAGGGGGTGTGGGGTGAGGTGGGACATGCTCCTAATTCGCTGTGTGACCTCCGAGAGGTCCTCCCTTCAGTGGTCTCAGCCACCCTCAGATCCACCGTGGGGCTGACGTCCCAGCCTGGTGGCCCACCACACCTGGCGTGTCCCCTCCCATCCGCCCGGCCGTCCCAGCTCCACCGTGCACTCAAACAGGCCAGGCAGTTCCCACGGCAACCCAGCCAGGGGCCCGGAGGCCAGGCGGCCGGGCATCAGGTGAGCAGGGCCATGCAAGCGCTGTCTGAGGACACCAGTCCTGCCGGACCACCCCCGGCCACCTTCTGGGGGGCAGGGGGCACAGGAGAGTCTCAGGATCTGGGTTGGATGTTTGTGCACCCCCCGCCCCCACGTGTATGACCTCAGCCAAGTCACACATCCTGGCGGGCCTCAGTTCCCTCACCTGTACAGTGGGAATAACACATCGGCCAGCCTGCCTCCCCAAGGTGGCCACGTGCACCAAATGTGACAATGACACAGAGCTAAAGGTCGGGACCGCGAAGGCACAGCAGCGGAAGGCAGGTAAGCGGAGTCCTTCCCCACTTGGGAGGGCCGTTGCTGGAGCATGGAAGGGACAGGGACGCTGAGATGGGGGTAGGACCGCGACAGACGCAGGGTGTGGGCGAGGGCACCGCCGGCCCGGCGGGGCTGTCCCCTCCATAGTGGGGCAGGAAGAGGAAACCAAGGCTACCACACAGTGGCAACGCTCCAAAGCAGGTGGGGCACACCTCTGGGGCCGTCCAGACCGAGATGGCGCCTCGTGAGCAGACCAGAGCTCCACCTGGACATTCAGCCACTGTGTCCCCACGGCTTCCCCCCAGGCTGGAATATTCTGGGAAACAAGGCTGCAGTGGTTTCTGCGGTTCACATTCTCGTTGTCAACATCATCTGCAGGTTGCACAGACAGTGAACGTCAGAGCAAGAAAGCAAGACGGAGACCCCGGACCCGGCACTCCGCTCTCGGCCCCGCGGCTCCACCTTGGCTGCACTGGGCGGGCTGGCCTCGCCTGAAGCACTGTCCCGCTCGCAGGGGGAAACAGGTGCCTATGGCCAAGCGGTTTGGGAAACTGTCGCGTTAAACAAAGCAATATGGAAGTGCTTTACTGCAGGACTTCTCAGAGCCTTAAACATGTTAGTGGGTATCATGAACCTTCAAGACTACACATGTTGCCCCAAGCTATTCGATCATAGAACCTGTTTGTCACAGAGCACCTCATGGGGCCAGTGTTTTGGAAACACTTTATACATTCACTTATTTAAAAGATATGGCCATGCAACAGGGAAACAGGCCAGCTCCCCGCCCTCGTGGAATTTACGCTTGGGGACTTGCTACTATTGATGCTAAAATCATCACATCTGCTCTGTTTATGGTACTCTTCCTCCACGGTGCCCCATCCGAGCCAAAGCCACGTCCCGGGAGAGCTGTCCCAGAGCTATCTCACCGCTCTCTACCCAAACTACCATTTTTCTCTCACACACAGTTTGAGACGAGGAAGGTAAAACTGCCCCTTCCCACAGAGCCAAGAGAAGGTCGCGACCTGGGAGTTTGGATCCTCCTGGGGCAAAGCGATCGAATGTGGAGGGAAGACAAAGATCCCCGGTTCCTGGGGTTTGGTTTCTGCGAAGCACATGATCACCTCTGTCCCCAGGACCTGACTTCCATTCCCAGAACAAATGACAACCTCACACGAACACCATTGACAAGGAAGGTCTGATAATGAGGATCCAATTTCCAGAGGCCACTCTGCCCTGACAATTCCGCTGTCGGAAAGGGCTGTTGCTTCCGCCCCCTTCCGCTAACGACCTCTTTAGCATTTTTATTCTACGTTCCCGCAGCCGAGATTTCCTATGATATGCCGTGAAAACCGTTCTTCGGGACTGAGCTAAGGGCGGCTGCTTTTCCCCACCACATCTAATCCGGCTCACATTTGGAAGCAGGTTCTAAAATCTGTGGGTTCCACAAGCTGGCTGTGTGCACAGAAGCCTGAAATTTTGTCCCCAGCTGGTGACTGGGGTCTGGATTGTGTGAAGTATTGACAGAGGCCGTGAAGTCCAGGCAGCCGCAACGCCCGAGGAACAGAGACGGGAGCCGCGGTGCTGCTCTGGGCTGGGTTCTGAGGCCTTTGCCCCAAGGGGCTCCTCCACCTGCGGGTGGTCCTGCCCTGCCCTCCTCCTTGCTCACACTTCGACATCCTGCCCTGTGGACAGAGGCTCTGACGACGGTCTCAGTCTTGGCTTTGACCCTCCTAGCCCTGGTCCCCTCCATCTCCTGAGGGCCTCACCCTGGCGGCCCAGGTAGAAAACAGGGAGAGAGCTCGGGCTTTGGAGACAGGCAAGCCTGGGTACCAGTCCGACCTCCACCATACGCAGCCGTGCGCTCTTGGCCAGATGACTGCAGCTCCGAACTGTCTCCCGCGTGGAAATGAGCTCCTAGCTCAGAGGCCCAACGTGAGCAGTAGCAAGCTCACCTGCCGTGTCTGCGGGAGATCACATCGCCAGCCTGATTCTGCGCCACTCTCTGCACCCACACACTCTGCAAGGCCCCCCATGTCCCCACCACGGCCTCAGGGCCTGCTGCGGTAGCAGCGTGCCAGTCCCCAGCGGCGGTGTTCTGCTGGGCCAGCTGCTGGGCCCAGGAGGAGGATGAGGGGTGCGGGGCACAGAGCCCTGCCCGGCCCAGGAGGCCTGGTCCCCACCCAGCCCTCGGACAAGCGACAGAGCCCACCTGAGCCCCCATCAGCCAGACTCGGCCAACCTGCCGGCCCGTGAGATAAATGACCGCAGACTGGAGCCACTGCGTTTTCAGACGGTTTGTTACGCAGCATCGGTGGCAATGGCCGACGGACGCGGTGCCTCTGAACAGTGCGAGCCCAGTAAGTGTTGACCTCTGTGCCTACCACGACCTCCAGGACCACGGGACCTGTCTGCTCTGGCCCCACATCCCGGCTCGTGGCAACCGAGTCAAGGGCACCTCTGCCACCGGGAAGGCGGGGCCACACCCGCTAGAGTCCAGCAGCCCCCATCCCGGTGTGAGACTTGCCATTGAGCCGCTGGGTTGGCCTGGGCAAGCCCCTCAGCCTCTCAGGGCCTCGGTTTTCCCCTCTGTAAAATTGGAGATAAGACCTACCCTGTCCTCTAATGGGGTGTGGAGTGAGGACGAAATGAAATAAAAGGGCCAAGTGAGGCAGGGAGCCCCGGCGGGGGTGGTGAGAGGACCGGGATTCAGTGGCCCACAGAGCACTGAGGGGGCACGGAGGGGCTGAGGGGGTCAGAGCTGAGCACCTGGGCAGGCAGGTAGACGGATAGGCAGGTAGATGAATGGGCAGGTGGATGGATGGATGGATGGATGG